TAACATATGTTGTACATTTATGTAATTGATAACAAACATGAAAAAAGTAATGTTTAAGTTTTAATACACATAACACTCATAAAACTGCATAAGTATGCAAAACACATTACCTGATGGCACTGCAGATGATATTGATGCTATTGTAAAAGTAAAAAAAAAAGTGTATAAAGTAACATGTGTTAAACATTTATGTAATTGCATGAAAACATGAAAAAAAAAAAAATTTAAGTTTTAATACACATAAAACCCATAAAACTGCATAAGTATGCTAAACAGATTACCTAATATTATTGCTTGAGGTGTTAATGTAGAGACAAAAAAAAAAAATAAAGTAATCTGTAAATTAAGATATGCTATCTTTAAGTTTTAACACACATAACACTCTTAAAACTGCATAAGAATGCAAAACACATTACCAGATGGTACTGCAGATGACGCTATAGTGGATGTAAAAAATATATTTACATAAACTAACATATACTAATCAATTAAACAGTTTATTTTAAGTGATAAAACCGCACACAAACATCAAAAAAAGTGTAATAAAATTAAACAAAATGAAACATAAGTGAACTTTGCTTACCAATTGAATTTTCTAATTTTTCTAAATAGAATAAAAAAAAACTCATTAACATTAAGAAAGAAACTAACATGCAGAATATTATAATATACATATAATATACGAAGCAAAACAAACCAAAAAAAAAAAAAAGAAAAAAGTTCCAAAAAAAAAAGAAAAAATTAAAATAAATAAGAACATTATAGTAATTTACTTAGCTGTTGAAGTATAAGCCCTATAAAAAAAATGCTAAAAATTGTATCAAAAAAGCTAAAAGACCAAAGAGTAGACCTTTTTTTTTTTGAAAGTAAAATGCTATATCTTTATCTATAATACACAAATGAAATATAATCAAATTCTGTTTACCCATTGAATGTTCTACTTTTTCTAAATAAAATGAAAAACTTATAAACATTAAAATAAACTAACTTGCCATATATAGAATAACTTTATGTTAAATAAATATGTAATAAAAAAAATAAAAAGCATGACAACAACAATAACAAATTGCTTACATAGATTCTCAACTGAATCTTCTAATTTTTCTAAATAAAATAAATTTGAAAGTTACAAAAGTCACTTGCTGACTGACAAACTGTCACAACTGACAAAAGTCAGTTGCTAAATAACTTTAAAAAAACTAAAAAAGCATAACTATATTTGCACACAAAAAAAAAAAACAACAACAACAAAAAAATTCCTGACTTAGCTTGTCCATTACTTCCGCTAAACATTAAAAAAAAGTTATAATTAACAAATTGCTGAAATTGGTGAAATATATATCTTTGTAACATATCCTTCTCATACAAAGTTAGCTTACTTGGAAAGAGCTCTTCGGCTCTGATCTCTTGAACATCTAATATATATATAGACATAATTAATTTTTAAAATATTCACTTTTTCAATTAAACATATAAGATTTGTCTTAAATTATAAAACTGTTGCACAGTTTTATAATTTAACACATTCAGTAAATGACAAAAAGTTTCATTTTACGTGAAAGTTTAGTAGTTAAAAGACTTAAAAGTCTATTTTAGCTTAAACACGTTTTATAAAATTATAGCTTAAACACCTTAAAGCTTCTATGTGTTTTTAAGGTTTACTGCTTTACAAAAACATCAATCAAAATAGCGGAATAAACAAAAACTGAGTTTTGGGTCTACCCTCTTAAAATTCTAAAAATTAATTTATATATTTTTTAACTTTAGTTAAATTTTAGGGTGGTGTGCTTGATTCACGGGGTTAGGGGAGGGCAGCATATCTTGGTTGATTTCAATTAAAAGCGGCTAAAATAAATCATCGTTTTATTCACACGTGAATCAAGTACAGCGTTTTTATGTTTTTAGAAATTTTAAAAAACGTTTTAAAAAATTCTCTCCGTTTGGTTTGTTATAGTATATTATATCTTTATTTTTATGTAATGCGTATAACATCTATATGCATTTAAACTTGTTTTTCTTTGTTTTCTAGAAAACAGGATAAGATTTAAAAAAAAAATTGTGTATGCAAAAGGTTTTGAACCCAAGCGAAGCACTTCAATCGCTTTGGAATGCTATATCATCTTTTTACACTATTTAATAAACAGAAAACTTATTAAACTTTAAAAAACAACATTTAATGCTTTAAAATAAAGAGATATTGTCGCAATGAAATTTTTAAGTAAAAATAAATC